ATATATTAAAAAAGCACATTCTATTTTGAAAGCAAAACAATTTTTGAAAACGAAAACTAATATGATGAAAAAGAAAGAAGAAGAAATGAATCAGTATCTTAGGAAATTACTTAGACAAGATGTTATTGATAAACAACTGTTTTATAGATTACGTTCAACGTGCTCTTCGATTGCCGTTATGTATGGACAACCAAAAGCGCATAAAATTAATTATCCACTGAGACCTATAATTTCGAACGTAGGTAGTTACAATTATGAATTGTCAAAATACCTAACAAAAGTTATTGAACAACATCGTCCAGAAAAGTCATTTTCATTTGTCAAAGATACCTTCGACTTCGTTAAACGCTTAAGAGCAGTGAAAAAGATTAACGAAAAAGTTCTAGTTTCATTTGACGTAGACTCTTTGTTCACCAATGTACCCGTTGATGAAACTATTGAATTAATTCTAAAGTTAATTTACAAATCAGGTAAACCAGGCGACGTACCATTTGAACGTGACCAATTCAAACAATTGTTAGAAATGGCCGTTAAAAACACACCATTCAGATTCCTAAACGATTTTTACATACAGCAAGATGGAGTATCAATGGGCTCCCCACTGGGACCCATCTTTGCCGATGTGTTTATGTCAAAAGTTGAACAGAATTTAAATCGATTCTCTACTAATAAACCACTGTTATTCTTACGTTATGTCGACGACATATTTTGCATTTTAAAGAAAAAACATAACATTCCCGATTTCTTGCAACGAATGAATAAATGGCACAAAAATATAAAATTCACTGTAGAATATGAAGACAATAATAAGATACCATTCTTAGATACAATGATTATACGAGATGTTCAAAATGATAAATTTCAAACTACGATTTATCGTAAACCAACCCATACCGATTTATATCTTCTCTATGATAGCAATCAATCTAGAAAATATAAACTAGGGTTAATCAGATCACTCGTCATTCGTATCTTACTAATTTGCTCATCGCCATCCTATTCAAAAACTGAAATAGACAGATTGAAAGTAATACTGAAAAACAATGGTTACCCAGAACATATCATCAAACGAGGTGTAAGAGAAGGTGAAATAATCACAAAGAATATTATTAATAAACAACAACAAAGTCAAAACCTTCCACCATCATCACAGCTTAACAAAAAGAAAATATTATTTTTCACAATTCCTTATTACGGTAATGAATCCACAGTATAAGGTCAGAGAATTACAAAAATTTGTAAGAAATTATTACCATTTTTTCACACTTGTTTCCTGATGATGACATTAGTAGCAATGTCGAAAGCTCGAAATCGATAATAAATTAATGAGATTTTGTTAAAATCTATAATGTATTTCGTAGCAGTTCTATACAAAATATTCTATACAGAATTCTGAGATATTATATAAAACAAAAAAGTCGAAGAATAATATCATCTCATCTCTTTTGCTACCTCTATGTTCGAATGAAAACATTTTCATTCATTTCATTTCATACATTCATTCATTTTCCTCTTTAAACACGTTCTATATATACGAAAAAAAGAAGATTCCGGCTATAACGTCGTCTGAAACGTTGACAGAACGCAAAAGTGACTATGTGAATAAGTGATCATTTTATTCACGTATCTTATTTGTAACATCCCTATCAGTAGATGGCGAAAAGCGCAGAATAGTGTTTTCGTTTTATTCTTCTTCTGTTATTCACTGACTTTCTATTCACTAGAGTGAATGGCAAGCAAATGATTTTATTTACTTTTTCTTGAAGTGAATGACACAACTTCATGTACATGGTACCTAGTGAATAACCAGCAAATAAGTGGCGCATTTTGCATCCACTACGGCAAAAGCAAGTGTATGGATACACTAGATGGAAAGCGGATGTACTGTAAATGACAAGTACATGGACAAAAATTTGACGGAAACACTTAATGAGCATAAATTATACACTCCAAGTAAACACTTTGTTCACTCCGAGTGAATAAACTGTGAATAGTTAAAGATATTTTTTTACAGTGTATTTGACACATGCTTTTCAGAGATGTCATAATACGGATACAGACTGTATCACTTGAGTCTACAGCTCATGATGCAACAGTACACACCCTAAACGTATTCAACTAACGAGCACGTGCATACATATTAAGTAAATATACATATCGATATACGTAGGTGAAGTTAGCACCATATTCGAGTAAAACCTTCCCATATTCGTCTATGGACATTTCCAAACTGTTCCAGCCCGGTTTCAAGTAGAACTCGACGAGCTCTATCGTCTGGTATCCTTGGACTTCCTATACTCCAAACCATATGCAACATATACCCAAAATACCCATTTTACACTATGTGAATGCTGCTACATGTTTGCTAAAATCTATCCATATTCGTTTAGGGACATTTCCAAACTGTTCCAGTCCAGTTCCAGGTAGAACTCGACGAGGTCTATCGATTGGTATCCTTGGACTTGCTGTACTCCAAACCATATGCAACATATACCCAAAATACCCATTTTACACTATGTGAATGCTGCTACATGTTTGCTAAAATCTATCCATATTCGTTTTGGAACCTGTTCAAACTGTTCCAGTCCAGTTCCAGGTAGAACTCGACGAGGTCTATCCAATGGTACTATCATATTCTCTATAACTCAAAGCATGTCTTGAGAAATCGCAAAATACTGATATTTTGGTACTGGTTGCAATTATATACTAGGCTACTATGAGACTTGGGAGTTTTTAACTACTTTGCTGAGATTTTTTTTTCTGAGGTTGTAAAAACAATTTTTGTAAATTTGCTGGAAATAGTGGCCAGTTGGAATATATTTATTTATAAAATTGTACAACTTCTTGTATAATAAAAGGTGAAGAAATCAAACATCTGTTTTACATAAAAAATAGAAGGAAGTTTAGATTTTGGCAAGTTTGTTGATCGCGAATGCTTGCAACAAATCCTGGAGACTACTCAAATTGTCTTGTGACGTTGGTAAGATTGAGGTTGTCGGCTGGTTCATGCTCGTACCAATATTGACGATCGACGATTGTTGAGTTGGTGCATTGTGGCGGCAGCGATAAATTAGGTAAAAAATAATAAGAACGACAACTATGAGAACAACACTCAGTGCAACAGAAAGAAAAAGAACCACAGGTCTTGTTGCACTTATTACTCCTTTTTTCCATAGACTATCACTAGTTTTTTCTGTTTCTTTTATATTTTTCTCTTGGATTCTCATTTGCTCTTCTAAGGTAAGAATGAGATTTTTGTCAGATGCAAATGGATATACTTTTGCAAGACCAATATTCAATGGATGAATTGATTCGACTACTGGAACAATATCATCATTTATAGTTTTTACGATATACGATTTTATCATTTGACAACGCTTATCTCCAATAAAATTGATGTTACCCTCGCAATAAAAAGTGTCATTACAACCTAAGCGAATTATACTCAAGTTTTTCAAAATATGAAAACCTCCAGTTATGGCGCAG